GGCCACGGGGCGAGGGAGGCCCAGCTCTGGAGAAGATGCAACACCCACAACTTTAATTGCACTTATACCAAGAAAGGGGAAGCAGTGGGGTTGCTGGGGGTGGGGGGTTGTCCCGGGGCTGCTGCTGACAGTGGGGGTCCCCAGGTGCCACCCACCTGCGCCTGCCTGGGGCTCAGCTGGGCCCAGGACAGGCTGTGCAAAGCCAGCGAGCAGAATAAGTTAACAGTTCCGTAGGAGAGGGGGCCTGCCTGCCTGCCCCCTGGGCGGCGGGCCTGTGGGGGAGATGCTGCGACCTTGTTGGCGGGGTGGGAGGCAGGGGCCGAGCTGGTTGCCCTGTGGGGCACCTGGGCACCGCGGCGGGTTCCTTAAGGCACGTCTTTTGTGTCAGAGTTTGCAGCTGCGGCTCCGCCCAGCCCTGTGATTGTGCCGGCCCCATGGGGGGGCGGGGCCCCCTCTCCTTCCCTGTCTCGGAGGCCCCCTCCTGCCCTGGTCGGGGCCTGGAGGGGTGACAGCGAAGCCACAGAAGCCGTGAGGGACCCTGGCGTGGAGGAACGGAGGGGCGGGCGGGGCGGGGCTGCGGGCTTAGCTGGAGGGCAGCGCCTGCACGAAGAGGCCGCGCGTGTCGGTCCGCGCCAGCTTGGCCGGCGGCTCCAGGGCCTCGGGGCCCAGCGCAGGCGACTCGCCGCCAGCCGCCAGCGAGATGTCCTGTGGCAGCTCATCCTCGCTCTCCTCCTCCTCCTCCTCCTCTTCGTCTGGGGCACACGGACCAGTCCCGGCTCAGCGCGGGGTGTCGGCGCCCGCCGGGCTCTTCCACCCCAGCCTCCCTGCCCCCCGCCTCCGGGACCCGGGCCTGGGTGGGGACACGCCTTGCCTACCTTTGTCCGGGTCCAGAGGGTTCAGCGAAGTGGCCAGGTTGGCGAACTGGAGAGAGGCGAGAAGAGAGAGTGAGGGTCCCACCGCCTGGAGCCGGGCCCAGCCCTCAGCGCCCCGTGGTGCGCACCTCGCCCATGACCGCGATCGGGGTCTCGCCCTTGGCCTGGGCCACGCGGTGCTCGATCAGGTAGTACATGTACTCATCGTAGAGCAGCCGGATGAGGTGGAAGGAGCCGAAGCTGGCGGCGCTGCGCAGGGTCAGGTCCCGGATCACCATGGAGCTGGGGATGGCAACCGAGAGCCCCTAAGGCCCGGCTCAGCCGCTCTTCCCGCTTGTCTCTCAATGCACCCCGGCACGCGCGAGCCCGGCGACCGACACGGGACACCGCGCTGGTTCTCCTAGGCTGTCCGTCATTGAGGGCCGAGGCCCCCACTTTCTTGAAAGAGCACCTGAGCCTCGCCCTCCTCGGAGGCGGAGGCTTCTCCAGTCCCACCCACGCCGAGCAGCGGGACTCTAGGGTCCCATCCGCTCCAAACAGAAGGAAACTTTGGGCTCCACCTTTGGCCCGACCCAGGAAGCAGGGCCCGCGCTACTGGCGTCCTGGGGCGTGGCCTCGCTGGTCCCACCCAGCCCCGCTCCCGCACGCACCTGTAGAAGGACCACTTGAGGAGGAAGAGCTTGGCGGCCTTGGGGAAGCCGGCGCTGCCCTGGTAGGGCTTGAGAACCTGGCTCACGACGCCGTCCAGCCAGGCCGCCCATTGCTCCAGCGAGTTCTGCTGCTGCAGCGTCACCTTGAAGTCCTGCTCCAGACGCTGCACCACGCGGTCCTCGCAGCGGCACACCCACGAGGCCTGCTCCTGGAGCACAGCGGGGAGCGGGCCGCGCCCGAGGCTCAGCCTTCGCCCCCGCCGGGCCGCCCCGCGCGCCCCTGCACAGCCTGGCGCTCACCTGGACATTGGCGAAGTCCACGCGGTTGAGGTCGCTCAGCATCTGGTTGATCTGCGCCGTGTTCTGCAGCACGGCGCGCGCCGCCTGCGCCAGGTGGTTGAGCGAAGTGTAGCGCCTCAGCGTCTGCGCGAAGGCGCCGGCCGCGGCCACCTGCGTGCGGGCCAGAGGGGCTGTGGCTTCCGCGGAACCCACCCTCCAGCCTCCACCTCACCCGCTGCAGCGGTTGAGCTTCCTCCGTTTTCCCTTGCTTTAAAAGGAAAGATGTGCCCTGGGGTGTCCACCTACTGACGTGGGCCCAAGACCAACTTACTGCATTCCAATCAGCACCACTGCACCCATGACCTGACCTTTTTTTCCCTTTTGGTACTGGAGACTCAACCCAGGCCACCACGCTACCACTAAGCGGGATTCCCCAGCGCCCTCCCCCACCCCTGCCCTTTAATCTTCTCACTAAGTTGGCCAGGCTGGCCTGGACTTGCGGTTCTCCTGCCTCAGCTTCTGGAATCGGGGCATTACAGGCTGCGGTCCCCAGCCAGCCCATTGTTGTTATTTTTAAGGAAAGAAAACAATGGAATATATAGAGGGCACCACACTTCTTAGACTTTTTAATTTTTTGGTTATTGTACCCTTGATTTCAGCTCCAGGAGGGCAGGGTGACTGTCCCTCTTGTTCAGTGCTATCCTTCCAGCACTGAGAAGCAAGCCGAGCACACAGTAGGTGCTCAATAAATGCATGTTGAACGAACAAGCATATGAGTCTTGCCAGTTCTGAAGGCTTCCTCCTGCCACCCACTTACCTGGCATACCCTCCCCCACCCTGGCCCACCTGCACATGACCCTAGGCTGGACACACTGCACTGGGGGCGGGGGCGGAAGCAGATATGGAGTTTTTTAGCTTCTATGCTGTTTGCCCAAAAGCCAGCACATGCCGCCTCATCCCTTGCACCTGAGTAGTTAATGAACGTGCAGCACTGGTGGAAAGGCGCTCACCGTTTCCTTACAGACACTGTCTGTTTAAAAAAGTCTCTTCCACTCTGAACACAAGAAGTGCTTTCTCAACAGGTTGTCTGAAGACAACTACTGCAAATTCATATTGGGTTTTTATTTTTATTTTTTTGCTACCCTAGGGATGGAACCCAGGTGCTCTATGACTGAGCACATCCCCAGGCCTGTTTATTTTCTGAGGCGGGTCTTACTATGAGTTGCCCAGGGGCCTTGCACAAGATCCTCTGTCTCAGTCTCCCCAGTCACTGGGGCTGCAGGGTGCGCCCTGGGCCTGGCTTGGTTTATACATTTTTAGGATGTTAAGTCCTCACTGCTACGAGGGGTCATGTCTCAGCAGTGGGCACTGGAGGAAGCTGCTCTATAAGACGACACTTGAGTCCTCCCTGAGGCCCCAGGTTCCCCAAGTGCACTCCCGTCCTCCCCAGGACAGGTGTGGGGACAAGTCTTCAGCCCCTGTGGAGCCCAGGAGAGCGAAGCCCACGGCCCCAGAGCCAGGAGGAGCGGCCCGGCCTCACCTTCACCCGCAGCATCTCCTCGGGGATGTTCACCATGGCGTGGGTGAGCCAGCTCTCCAGGCTCTTGGCAAAGTTCCGGATCGCTTGGGTCAAGGCACCTGCGGGCAGTGGGGGGGGCGGTCAGGGAGGGGCGCACTCCGGGGCGGGGCGGGCCGGGCCGCACACTCACTGGGGATGGGCCGCAGCACGTCAGGGATGAGGATCTCCACCAGGCCCTGGTACAGCGCGTGGTCGCAGCGCTTGGTCCACTGCAGCACAGGCTCGAACTTGGAGAGGAGCACCAGGCTGGCCTTGGGCAGCCGCTTCTCAGCCTCATCGTGCCTGTGGGCACCCACCCCAGGTCACACAGGTGCTCCATGGTCCTGTGCCCAGAACGACGGAGGCACCAGCCAGCCACTGCCAACTAGGGTTTGGCTGGGCACTTCCTGCCTCCTGCGGACGCCCAGGGCCAGGCTGGTTCGGGGCTCAAGGCCACAGTCTGACGGGGCTCCTGGGGTCTCCTCCAGGGCGGAGGGGCTGCCCTGCCCGGTGCCCAGCTCCCGTGCTCTGGGTGTCAGACACACATGGGCCGTGGGGGTCCAGGGCACTCACACGAACCACAAGGGCCACACCCCTCCCCCTTCACGTGAGGACTCACACGGCCAGTGCCGGGGCCTCGCTGGGCTGGCTGAGGTTGTGTCTCCAGAAGGTCTTCCACAGCGTCTCCACCAGCGTGAACTGCAGGTTCACCATGACGTCCACGATGGCCTGTGGGGAGGCGGGCGGGATGCTCGGGGGCAGCGGGCAGCACGGTCCTCCCCTGCCCACGGGCTCCTCCAGCTGCCCTACCTCACAGTGCTCCCGGTACAGGACTTGGAAGGCCTTGATGTCCCCCGGGCCGACGCCCTCGGGCAGGACTTTGCCCTGGAGGTCAAGCTCAGTGAAGTCGGGGAGACTCCGAGAGGCATCTGGGGGGTGCACATAATGAGGCCTGTGCCCTGGCCTTCCCGCCCCCGGCCTTCCCTGGCATCCTACGGGCTTGTCACCAATTCCCCAAGGAGGGGACCCCCATGTACAAAGGATGACAAGGCTCGGGGAGGGCAAGCACCTTGCCCAGGGTCTCAGCCCCCAGGACAAAGGCTCCTGCTGGCCCTGGCTGTCGGCTAAGGGGCATCCCTGGGCCGGCCCCTGGGACATGGGACTGAGTCCAGGCTGGCTCCTAGTACCCACCTGACCACCAGGAGCAAGCCACCAGGGCCTAGTCAGGACTCCAGGGATGCCACCCAGAGCCCGAGGGCCCCAGTGTGGGGCTGTTCATGGAGATCACTCCAGGACACCCCGGCTCTGCCAGGCGGACTCCCGCCCCTCGGCCCCCGCCCCTCTGCGACAGTGCTCCACATCTGTCCCCGTCCTCCCCCAGTCCCCCCAGGGAACTGCGTGCCACAGGACATCCTAGAGCTGCGCCACCCAGGCCAGGTGCCTGGGCTGCATGGGTAAGAGCCAGAAAGCAGCCACCACATGCCCCTGTCACAGAGGCGTGGCAGGCACGCGCGAAGCTCTGGGGCTTCCTGGGTGCCAGGAGCATCCCTGAGCGGCTTTAAGGGGCTGGGTTTCTTGTCTTGGTATTTGGAAACCCTGGGTGCTGCACACCTGCCTCTGCAGCCCACAGCAGCCGGAGAGCTAAAGGGGTGCCACCACCTCGTCACCAGGGCTCTGGGCGGGCAGCAGGGAGCCTGCCCCTCCAGTCCACAGGCTGACATTTGGGTTGGCCCCCAGAGCTGCTGCACCACTGGCCTGGGATCTGGAACCCCCGCGCAGCGTGGCAGGTTAGAGAACCGCTCCCTTGTTGGAAGGAACGGGACCTGCCTTGGGGACGTTTCTGGGCACAGAACCTCGGTAACCGACCCCAGCAGAGGCAGCCCGAGCCCCTGAGCATGGCCCCGCCCTGCCGGGAGGCTCACCCAGGAACTGCTGGTACTGCTGCACCTGGGCGCTGATGTCGGACAGCCCCACGGCCTGCTGCGGCCCCACGGCCACCCCGTTGGTCACGCCCTCCACCTTCTGGATGGGCTTCAGCCTGCGGGAGAGGGGGCAGGTGGGCCCGCTGTGGGGGCGGGCGGCTGGGTGGGGTGGCTTTCCTGGTGTCCCCTCCTCTACCTCTGCTTCTGGGAGAAGGGCTGGCCCCGCATGGCCATGTGCTGCTGGTCCTCCATCAGCCGCAGCAGGGGCGAGCTGGCCTTGATGCGCAGGCCGTAGTAGTGGTACTTGGAGTTGCCCCTGGGAGGAAGCCGAGGGTGAGGGCCGGCCCTGGGAGCACCGTGCCAGACTGACTCTGGCTCCCGGGGGGCTAGGTGGAGATGTGTGCCGCTGAGCCAGGGCCGACACCCTGGGGACGCACAGGGGACACACAGGGCTGTGGGTACCAGCAGAGGCCCCCACTTGCTGACTGAGGCCTCTCGGGACAGGGCCAGGGTCTGGTTCTCTGCTGAGCCCCCCATCCTGACACAGGGCCGCAGGCGCCGGCCAAGTGCTTGCTGACCACTGGCGCTAACAACGCGCAATGCCCTAAGCGCACAGGCGCACCCTACCCGCCACGCACTGGGGAGGGTGGTCCCCACTGCCCTGCGCACAGACGAGGACGCAAGGCCCGGCACCTCAGCACCTCATCTTGGCTGGTCTTGCGGCTGAGGTGTACCTCACAGCCCAAGGACAGCTGGGGACAGGAACCCCACCTGGTGCCGAGCCGACGCGTGCGCAGCCCCATGAAGACGGAGCGGATGAGTTTGCCGAAGGAGGCGGCGTTGACGGGCTCCAGCTTCTGCTCCTGGCAGTGCAGCAGGTAGTGGCAGTAGAGGGTGCTGCGGGGCAGGCTCACGCCCTCCGCCGTCTCATAGTTGTCCAGGAGCCACTGGACCTGGGCGGGAGGGGCAGCGAGGACACCACTGAGGGTCGCTTCCACTTTTTAGATGGCGGCGGCTGAGTGCTCCACATCAGTCCCCATCCTCCCCCAGTCCCCCCAGGGAACTGCACCGCCCAGGCCAGGTGCCACGGGCCGCAGGGAGCCACTGAGACACAAAGTCGGCGGGAGATGAGCTGGCACCACGGTCATGAGGCGTGACTCCATCTGGAAAGTGTCCTCGACAATGCGGCAGAGGAATGGGACACCAGGAGGGAGGTGCTCAGGGGACAGTCAGGGTGCTCTGTGTGGTCCCTCGGTGCAGGGGAGGGACCCAGGGACGCGCGTCCCTGCTCGACCGTGGAGCTCCCCGGCAGCCCCAGCGCCGGCCAAGGGTGGTCTCCCCAAACCTAAGCATGTGAGGAAGGGGCGCCCAGAGAGAGCATCACCCCCGGGTGGTCACAGAATCGAGGGGGCAGGTCACAGCCAGCGTTTTAAAAAGTAGACGTGGAAGAAAAGGAGGCCGGAAGTCAGGCTGCACCTGTGCCTAAGGGGGACCCGGGAGCACGCCCGTCAAGCGGCACGAGGGGCCCTGTGGGCAGACTTCAGGGACTCCTCACAGCTCCCGGGTGAGGGTGCCTGCCTCTCCCTTCACTACCATCCATCCTCTATTGTCAAGTGACACTCAGAAGAGGTGACACTTCTTTGGGCACCACTCCAAGGGCCTCACACGTATCTGCCACGGCCCAGAGAGGCTGAGTAACTCGTGAGAGGTCACACAGTGAGGATTCCATCCCGTGGTGAGCGCACACAGACACTGCCGTACCAGGTTACTAATGGTGGCCAGCAACCACTGCCAGGGACCAGCTCCAATGCCCACTGCCCACCACCTCTGCCCGGGTACCCACCTCCTACCGGGCGCTTACCGTTGCTGGCGAGGCACGGGTGGTGTGGGAGTAGGACTGGCTGGCGCTGCCCAGCATGTAGCCGCCTTGGATCACGTAGGTGCCTGCGCCGCCGCTGCTGCTGCCACTGCTGCTGCCGCCGCTGCTGCTGCCACCGCTGCCAGCCCCGCTGCCGCCGCCTCCCCCACCGCTGCCTCCGCCACCTCCGCTGCCGTTGCTGGCCCCACCCCCGCTGCTGGCGGAGCTGGCCACCACCTGGCTGCCGGACACGTACATGGGCACGGAGCCGCTGCTGGCCACCGCCTGGGAGGTGGCCGGTGAGCTGACCTGGGTGGCCGTGCCTGCGGCCTCGTAGTAGCTGGTGCCCGCCGGCTGCGTGTACAGCGGGGCCTCGGGGTAGGCGTAGGTGCTGGAGCGGCTGGGAGAGGCAGAGGGGGTGGGCGTGAGGGCCAGGGCGGGGAGAGCTGGGTGGCTGAGGGGCACGGTCCTGTGGGAGGGGAGGAGGTCCCAGAAGGGGGCCAGGGATGCAGCAGTCCCCAGCGCCGCCCTTTTCCTCCTTCTGACGGCAGCATCCTCGGGCCTGATGGGCAGGTTCTCACGGAACCATGGGGCAGCCCTCAGTGCCAGGGTCACCGCCCACTCGGAAAGCGAGGAAGCTGAGCTAGATGGGCTGGGTCACCTGCGACACTCGGCCACCTACCAAGAACTAGCCAAAGAAACGAAACGAAAGTTGCAACCTTGGGCTGGTTCCCGGCATGTTGATGTGCATGCAGTGAGCGCCTACTGTATGCTGGGGACTGTACCAGCAACGCCCTCGGGTCAGTTCCCACGGGCAGGGCCAGGGAGGTGAGAGGAGGTTGGTAGGAGGCCGGGCGGCTCCATCACCCAAGGTGAGTGGTCTGCTCACTGGACACCAGGGTCCAGCTCTTGATCACCGAGGCCCACGTCTACCTCAGAGTAATGCCAGGAGCACGTGCCTCCTCCCCAGGGCCAGGCCCAGCCAAGGGCCCAGCCAAGGGCCCCACAGGCAACACATGCTCCAGAAATGCTGTGCGGGGCTGGGCAGGCAGCTCAGCGGGGGTGCAGAGCGGCTCTAGACCGTGGGCACCCCGGGCTCCGTCCAGCACCACACGCACTGGTAGATATTTGCTAAATGAACAGATAAATTAATGTCCAAAGCCAGGGATGGAAGCCCAGGGGCCGCGGCTGTGGCCAGCGTGGAGATCCATGCTGGCAGGGGGCTGGGAACCTGGTGACAGTCTGCCAGGAGGGACAGAAAAAAGACACACCCAAAGCAAGAACTTCACATGGCAGAAGAATGCGACAACGGCCAGCCGTGAGCTCCGTGGGGAGGGAGAAGTCCAGGCAGAAGCCAAGGAAAGTGCCCCAGAAGGAGCCAGGCCAGGCGCAGGGCCCACTCTGAGGCTAACAGCGAGGCGGGCCTGGGGGCAGCCCTCCTCCTGGGAATGGCGCCCCTGGCCCCGGCCACTGGGGTTAGCTGCACATGGAGACAGTTAGCAGCACCGGAAACAAACTGAGGGCAATTCAGGTGCCAGGACCACACTCCTCAGGGTCAGCTAGAGCGTCATGACCCAAGGACAGAGTCACTCTCTGAGCTAATCCAATCCCAGCACGGTGCCCGCAAGGACAGGTGGCAAGGACGAAAGAAAAAAATCAGACGAATGCAAAGAAAACCAAATGGAAATTCTAGAAACTGAAACAGCAGCAGCAATCTAGCCGCGGCATTTCTGCTTGGAGGATGGGAGAGGGAGAGGCCGTGGAGGGCCTCCACCAGGAGTCGGCCTCCGGAGGCTGTTCTGGGACAGGACACTGGCCCCTGTGCAGTACCTGGCAGAGACACCTGTGTATCGGCTGCCTGGGGACCAGGGACACCTGTACAGAGGAGTGCTGGGCAGTGTTCAAGAAGCCAAGAGGGACCTATGTGCACAAATGGGGGAGCCAGGGGAGGGCCAAGGACAGGCTGGGCAAAGAAGTGAGACAGACCCGGCCTCCACTTCTGAAGAAAGGAAGGAACAGTTTCTATTCCTGGAGAATCTCTGGGAGGAACAAAGAAACAGGTCACCCTGGGCAGGGTGGGGCGGCCAGGATCCAAGTCACCTCTTCACTGTTAATGTCCCTAACACACAGGAACTTTCTATCTTGTAAAAATGTGTGTGTGTGTGTGTGTAAAGGCACTTTGTTTTGTTGTTTTTTACCTCTAAAGGCCAGGCTGGTTGAGGCCCAAAGCCCTGTGCTGGCTGGGATGCCAGGTTCCCTCTGCTCTGGCATGCCGTGGGCTGCTGGCTGCCCCTGGGTGGTACCCACCTGGCTGTCACCTGAGGCCTGGAGTCCTGAGCAGACCTACGCCCCTGCCCTGCCCTCCCTGTGCCCCTACCCACTTACATGGCGCTGGCCGCGTAGCTGGCGTCGCCGCCCTCCACGTACTGGACCTGGCTGGAGTACACATGTGGCACCGGGACCTGCTGGAGCTGCTGCACCTGGGCAGGAGGAAGGCAGCAGGGTCAGGGGTGGCTCCGGCCTCTGCCTTGTGGAGCTGGCGGTTCTCAAGCTCTCCCGGAGGCCAGGTCACTGACTAGGAGGTGCACATCTGGGTTCTCTAAACACCACACCCTGATGGGGGCTACAGCCTCAGCTGGGGCTGGGAATCAGGAAGAGCTGTATCAGGAGGACCGCCAAGACACTCTGCTTCTGCTGGAGACGGCAAGGGTGGGGCCTGCTGATGGGCAACAGGGGAGCCCAGGCAGGTCAGACGGTGGGCCAGAAGGGTAGGCCTCGGGGCTGGGCCAAGAATGGGGACAAGGTGTAGTTAAAGCCAGAGCTTGGAACTACACATGGCCCCAGGGGCGGGGCCTGTTAGCCCAGCACAGGATGTTAGGGGCGGGGCCTGGGGACAGTTTGCCCGACAGAACCTCAATGACTTGAGAGTGCCTTAGGGGCGGGGCTTCAGTATCCCACCTCCACCCCCACCCTGATCTGCAGGGATGGAGCCTAGGACCTGGCACCTGCTGTGGGATGTTGGAGGCGGGCTCTTAGACCGACCTGCAGGGCGGAGATGGGGTCTACAGGGCTGGAGGGGCCTGGTGGGCAGCCGGGGTATGCCCCCGCCCCCCGTTGCCCCCCGCCCGTGCGTCCACCACCTACTTTGAGGGCCGTGGCGGCCGTGCTGAACACTAGCACCTGGGGGATTCTCTGGATCCTGACCCTCTGGTCGGGGCTGGCTCGGGCTGAGAGCCCGGGCAGGGGCTCGAGGACCACTTTCTGCTGCGGCAGGAGCAGGTGCGGGGGCAGCACGCCCACCAGCTCCACCCACTGCTCGACGCCTGGCTCGTAATGGGTCAGCTGCGGCTCGGGGCTGCCTAGCTGCCGGGCCTCGCCGCTGCACACCGATGGGAGTGGCGGCGGCTCCGGGACCAGCGCGCCTGGCCCGAGCCCGGGCGTGGGCGGCCGGGGTGGCGGCTCTGGCTGCGGCGTGGGCCGGGGCTCTCGCTGCTCTGCCTTCCTAGCGGGAAACTGACTGTCTGAGCTCTGGAGGACAAACAGAGATACTGGGGCGTCACTGGCCTCGCAGCCCACCGGGCTGCAATGCGCACAGGCAGCAACCCAGGCGACGGTCCCGCCCAGCGCCTCAGGGCGGAGAGGGGGAAGGGACCCAGGCTAGAAAGAAGTGGCATTTGAATCCAGATCTCTCTTAGCAAAACTTGGGCATGAGGTGCCCTGAAAGGGGGCTGATTCAGGGCGGATCCGCAGCCCACAGACAGGGGTGCAGGCTGAAGCCGGACCTGGAGCCCTCTGTCCTTGAGGACCCCAGGAGGTTCCATTACCCCCCTTCGGGGCAGGGACCTGCGTTCCCATCCCTCACAGGAGACCAGGCCCACTTTGCACCCCCCATCTACCCTAGGTAGATGGGGGGGCACCTACCTCTTGAGCCACGTGGACTGGCTGAAGTCCCTGCACGGTCAACTGTTGCACGGGGCCCGCTTTGGGTGCCTGCGGGGTGGCCTGGACCACAGACCTCTGGGAAAGGAAGGGAAAGAGAAGACAAGTGAGGCCGCGGTATCCGTGGCCACGATTGCAGCCAGAGAAGTCCCCATCCTCTATACAGTGAACCTACCTAAACCTCACCACAGCCACTAAGAAAAACACGCACCATTCTCCAGCCAAAGCAAAGCAACTCTGTTGCTGGGCCCAGCACCGCGCGTCCAGGCTCACCAATGCCTTGCCTCTGGGCACCCAGTTACAGGCCCGGGAAACAAGGCCCAGCGGGGTAAGGCTGCCAGGAGGTGGCACGGGCAGGCACTGGACCTGGGACCAAGGCGGTGGGGGGTCTCTGCTCTCCTCCCCTCTCTGCAGGTCCTTCAGGAGTGCACGGACCTGGTTTATCTTTGGTGCCTATACTTCAGTAAGGACATAGTAAGCTGTCCTTACTAGGGATCAGTGGCTGGAGGGGGTGGGGGCTGGTGCTAAGTGGTGGGGCTGAGACTTGAACCCAGGTCTGGAGATTTACAGGGGCTCTGGCACTGGGCAGGGAAAAAAAAAAATCTGTGAATCCTCTGGATGGGGTTTCCAATTTTCTCTGGGAGCTTATGGCTTCCATTTGTTTTTTTGTTTGTTTGTTTGTTTTTCTGGTTTGGTTTTATTTTGATTTGCTTTTAAGAGACAGGATCTCCCTATGTTGCCCAGGCTGGCCTTGAACTCCTGGGCTCAAATGAGCTCCTGCCTCAACCTCCTAAGCATCATACACAGGTAAACACCATGGTGCCCAGCTTCATCTGATTTATGAGGGGCCAGGAACCCCCGAGTTGAACAACCACAACAGACAGCAGATGACTCTTGCCCTTCACCTCCCCCGCTGCTGTGGCTGTAGCTCAGAGCTCGGGCTCCCCTGGAAGGCTGGGCGCGGACCTGGAAACTAGGGCCTCTGCCTGAGACCTGTGAATGCGCCGGGACTTGGCCTCAGGACCTCCTCTGGGCAAACGGATCCCCATAGACCAAAGTGGACTGTTGAAGCTGGTCTGAGGCTGCCCCGCCCACGGCGCCTTCTGCAGGCTCTGCATTTCACCCTCAGCGCAGCCCCCCACCCCAGGACACTGCATCTGGAGAGGTGGAGGTGCTAGTCGGAGGCTCTGGACCTCTGCGTGTTTGGCTCTAACAGGCCAGAGGCACAGCCAAGGGGGCTGCAGAGGCCAGCTGGCTGCGACCCCTGGCCCTGGCTGCTGCCCGCTTTGGCCAGGCACCTCTTGGGTGACGGAGACGCTCTGCTGGACACCATGAACCTGCAGCTGCTGGGGCACTGTGCCCGTGGGGGCCCCAGCCGTCTTGCTGGCGGAGCTATTGGCTTGCACCGGCGACCGCTGCAAGGGAAGGAGACACGGCGAGGTCAGGTTGAGCTCTGGGCATATCGGGAAACCTGGGCCCCAACCCCCTTCTCAGGAGGCTCTGTGGAGAGGGCAGCAGGTGGCGGTGTCTGTCCCACCACCCACGCTCATCACAGGCTGTACTCGCGCATCCAGATGCTTCGGCCTGCGTCAGTCCTGGTCACCCCCAGGAGAGGGTTCAGCTCTGGGGTGCTGGTCATAGTCAGGGGCCACCTGCTCTCTCCAGAAGAGCTGCAGCCCTGACCCGACAGAGCTTATGGCTGGGAAAGTCTGGCTGGGCCATGGAAGCACCCCCTAAATCAGCCCTCTGAGGCTCTCCTAAGTCACAGTAATGACAGTAGCACCTACAGACAATGTGCCGAGTCCCACCAGGTGCTGCTCTGAGCGCTTTGTGTTCACTCACCAGGATCCCACAGCATCCCTGCTTCCTAGTAGAGGCAGAGGGGGAAGGACACGCCCAGGGCCACACAGGTGGGCTGGCTACAAAGCCCGTTTGCTCTGCGCCAGGCTTGGGCTGTCATTCCCACAGCAGCTGGCGGGCAGTGGACAGCTCTTCCCTTGCCACCCAGTACTAGGGATTGAACCCAGGAGCCTCTACCCCTGAGCTACACCCTCAGCCCTTTCTGTTTTTCATTTTGAGACAGGGCCTCACTAAGTTGCTGAGTCTGACCTTGAACTTGAGATCCTCCTGTCTGTCTCCCAGTAGCTGGAATTACAGGTGTGCCCCCTCATGCCTGGCTGCCCATCTCTCATACCCAGACAGCCCTGGGCTCCCGAGGCTCAAAGCCCTGCCTAGAGGCCCAGCAGCACCAGCAGCGGAGACAGGCCCTGGCCCCAAGCCCCTGATGCTGGGGCCGGTGCTCCAGGCCTCCTGACTGTCCCCAGCCCTCACTGATGTGTGTGGTCCCCAGAATCCACCACGTGGTTCCAAACTCTCAGAAGGGGTTCCACCCACCCTTCAGATGGAAAAGGAAGCCATGTTGTGTCCTGTGATGCCATCCCCTGAGCAGGACCTGTAGAGGCCACCTCAACCCCAGGAGGCTACCCCCCTCCTACAGCCAGACCCCATGGCAGCTCAGCCCAGAGCCACGAGGCCAGGGAAGGAGCGGAGAGGGCAGGAGGACTGCAGAGGAAGGAGCAGGCTCACAGCAAGGGAACCTCAAGTGTCCTGAGGGGCTACCACCTACCTCAGGAGGCGAGTGCACCTGCTGGGTACCGTGGACCGTCAGGGACACCTGGCCACCCTTGCTGCCTGGCGCTGTGCTCTGCACCACCAGACGCTGTGTGGGGAGAGCCTGGAGCCGGGGGAAAGAGGGAAGCCATCACCCTTGACAGCCCGGGGCTCTGCTGAGCACCTGAGAGGTGCCAGGTGGTGCCTAAGTGCTCTCTGCCTCTCAGCCCAGGGACTCGCTGACAGCCCCACACAGCAGTCACTGCCCCACTTCAAGGGGGTGACACTGAGGTTCAGGAAGGTTCGAGTGCTCATCTGAGGTCGCAGATCCAGGAAGTGGCAGTGGAGAGTGTGGACCCGAGGCCCAGCTGAGCCCACGCCAAGTGTGATCTCATCTGCGGCTCAGGGCTAGAGCGCCGGCCCAGCATGTTCAAGGCCCTGAGCCCCTCCCCAGGACCTCACACACATAAATAGCCAATAGAATTTGTCCAATTTTGTGTTGATCAATGGGAAATGGGGGTGAGCCCTGGCAACCCAAATGCGGCCTTCCGGAGGACAGACGCCCTCCCCTGCTGCCCTGGGCTCCTTGGGCTTTCTGCTTTAGGACGCTGCGGCTGGCCCCTGCTGCCCCGCTACCCTTCCCCACTACCCTCACTGCTCTAGTCAGATGGCCAGGCCCTGCTCCCTGGTGGACCCCACCACCCAGAGCCAGGAGGTGGGGAAGCCTCAGGATGGGGCCAAGCAGGCCACAGGGGCTGGTTTCCCACCCGGGGGGGCTAACGGTGGGAGGCTTACCTGCTGGGCCACCTGGATATTGGTGAGCTGGAGGGGTGACACGTGGCCCGGCTTGGCCTGCACACTGGTCTGCACCAGCAAGCGCTGGGGGTCAAAGTGTGAGGAGCTGAGCCGGGCCAGCTCCCCGGGGAGGCCCAGCCCTGTGGGGAGGGCGGCTGACATGCACATCCCTGGGGGCTGACATGCACATGGGGGGGCGGCTGACATGCGCATCCCTGGGGGGCTGAGGTGCCCATCTTGATAAGAACAGTGAGCAGATGTCCTGATGGACGGAAGGCAAGGCCCCAGAGAACCCAACCTGCACTGTCCCCCTGCAGGCCTGTCCCCCATCCTACCTGCTGGGTGCCCTGCACCTGCTGAACCACCTGAGTGGGGACGCCGGTCTGGCTGGCTGTAGAGCCCGGGCTGGCTTCTGACACCGTCTCACTGGCTCGCATGGCACCCTCTGTGGGGGAGGGGGCACCAGATCAGCTCTGCGCCCACAGGGAGCCTAAGCCACCTGGAGGGCAGGACGAGAGCTGGAGCCCAGCCCACAAGGCCTGCTTCTCCAAAAGCCCGTCGCTCCCCTGGCCAGCCCTGGCAGTGCCCTTCCGGGGTGGGGTGGGCGCTAGACAGCACCCAGGGACTCTAACACCTGGAGGCAACCCTTGACCCTTCTTATCCAGAAGCTGAACCGGACAGGGTGCTGGGGCCACGAGGCCACAGAAGTCGAGGCTGGCCCTGTTCCCCAAAGGCAGGGCCCGGGCAAACAGTGAAGTGACCACCCTTCTCCTGGCAGTTCTAGGAGGACCAAGTGCTGGCCCACCTTCCCCAGCACGATCCCGGCTTCCCAGGAGACAGCTGGCCACAGTAGAGGCCACAGCCAGGGGCTCCGCCCAGCCTCGCTGACCTCGAGGGGCAGGAGGGGTGCAAGGGGCTTGGAGCTGGACGAAGGGTACTCACGCTGACAGGCAGCTAAGAAGAGGCAATCATAGAACATGGTGCCCGCCTGCCCGCTCCCTGCCCCTCTGCCTGTCTGTCCAGGGCCGCCCGCTGGCCCTCCCTCCTGGCCTGCCTCTGTAGGAACAGCAGGGCGCACAGGCAGCTTTATACCCACAACCTTGGCGAGCTAATCCCCCGAGGGACGCAGGCTCCCGTGTGCCCTCTTGGGTACACTCCCCTCCCCGTGGGCTGCCTGAGAAGGGCCTTTGCGGGGCGGGGGCAGGTCGGGGCAGGAGGGAGGCTGGTACCCGGAGATGCTATCAGGCAAGCGCAGGTCGGATTTCATGCACATCTTGCTGAGTGATTAACAGGGGCCACAGGGGGGCAGGGAGGAACAGCGTCCCTGAGGGGCCCTGGCCAGGAGACCCTCACCTGTCCTGCCCCCAGCAGCCCCAGAGGCCGAGGTGATGTGGGGGAGGACCATGGACGCCAGAAGGAGTCAGGCCTCAGCCCCCCTTCCTAGGGGAAGTCAGAGAGGCCACCCATCCCCCACGAGACGAGAGGGCCACAGCGTCCTCGGCCTCAGACACTCAGGCTGCTGCCGTGGAGGTGATGCCCGGCTCCGGGGCACTGGGGCCCAGCGCTCTCCCCACTGTTCCCAGTAAGGCACCAGAGGCGGGAGGGAAGTGGCCTGCTCAAGGTCACCAGCTGGGGACCAGCAGGCCAGGACACAGGCCTCTCTGTGCCACAGGAACTTCACACCATATGCAGAACCCAGAGTCGCTGGTTCTGCTGGGCCGAGGCGCCGGGGGTGGTGTGCGGACGCGGACCCGGGGCTCGGCGAGCTGGGAACCCACGGGCACCTCAGGTGCAGAGCATCCCAGGGTGGGGCCGGTGGGGCTCATGCGCCAAAGTGGGGGGTGGTCCTCAGCTGTGGGGAACAAAAGAGAACGTCCCAGCAGAGCAGGAGGGCCCTCTACGTGGACTCAAGGACCCCAAGGCCAAGGCCACGGCAGAGAACGTGTGTGTGAGTGGGGGGTGAGGGCTGCCAGATGTTGGGGGAGCCTCCCTGTGGCTACACGTGGGGCTGGCATTGGGACAGTCCCAACCCTGCGTGGATAGCTGCCTGGGCAGCCAAGTCCAGGTGGCTCGGACGGCTGTTTTGCTGGAATCTTCTTCAAGTCTGCGTTCGTCTCCCTGCGCCGTGCAGGAGGCTTCCCTGAGCGGCCCCTTGGGAGAAACCCGAGCCGGCCCCGAGTCACGTGAAGGCCTGGCACACCTGGGATGTCCATGGGGCACGGGGAGCCAGCCCAGCACAAGAGAGGTGCCACAGCGTTGCCTGGCTCAGTGTGGCAGCAAAGCGGGTGCTGGGCATGGCGCTGATCCTGGAGCAGGACGCTGTGTGTCTGCAGACCTGAGACCTGCTGAGATCATCGGGCCTGTGTCCTGTGTCTGGGTGGCCCATAGGGCTGGGTCGCTGGGATCCTCCCCCACCCTCTGCTGGCCAGGCCAGTAGGCACGAGGGGCCGCGCAGGAATGTGGGCGGGTGAGTCTGCTCCTCAGCTGAGGGGCTCCCTGTGTGCAGTCCCTGTCCACCAGGGCTCAGTCTCTCCCTCACTATGGGGAGGGGGGGCCAGGAGGGGACCTCCACTCCAGGGAAGCACCGTTGGCTTCCTGTCTCTGAGCCGAGGAGGGGCTGCCCTCCTCCCTCCTCCTCTGTTGGAGTGAGCAGTGAGCTCCTGGGCAGGCCAGAGACATTCAGAGGCCGGGGGTCAGGCTGGAACCCTGGTGCCCCTGCTGGCCCAGGCCCCCTTCCCCACGAGCAACAGAGCCAGCTGGCCCTGTCCTTCCTGTTCCTTGGCTCGGGGATGACTTCCCACAGGGGCCTTGGGGGGGGCAGCTCTGGGACTCCGCTGCTCCCGGGTGTGTCCTGTCTGCCCTGTGTCTGCCCATCTGTACTCGGGGATGCGGACAAGCACCCTCCATTCCCCTGTTTGGGACATGCCTTCTTGGACTCCAAGGAAGGCCAGTGGGAGAGCAGAGGAGGGAGGCTGGCCTGGTCCTCCCTGGAGCCGCCCGTCTCTACTTCAGGCAGCCTGGCGCCACCCTCCTGCCAGCGTCCAGAGCCCACAGCATCCCGCTTCCACCTCAGGCCTGGCTTGGTTTGGGCGCTGGGGACTGAACCACGGAGCTGCCTTCCTGGGACGTTTTATTTTTTGAGACAGGGTCTTGCTAAGTTGCTGAGGGTCTCACAAATCTGAAGAGGCTGCTCTTGAACTTGTGATCCTCCTGCCTCAGCCTCCTGCGTAGCTGGGCTGCAGGCGGGCACCAAGGCACCCGCCGCAGGTTTTGGGTGATGTCCGTGGTGGCTGAGGAGGGGATTATGGCCAGGGTTGCTCCAGACCAGGGAAACTCGAGCTTCCTGCCCTCACCTCCAGAGTCACCTCAGAGCAGAGCACGCCAGGCCCAGCTGGACAGGCTGCCTCTGGCCTGCGTCCGGGCCTGGCCCGGGACCTCCGCACCCCGCCCGCGTGGACTCCGGGCAGCTCCACTGCTCCTGGCTCCAGAGCAGCCCGGCGCCTCCCACAGCCTTCGCTGGTGTCGGCTTCCACTCCTGCCCAGGGGCCGGCTCACGTGCCCAGGCCACTCTGAGATGACACGGGATGCCAAGCTAGTGAGGGGGAGTGGCTGAGGGCAGGGTGCCAGCCAACTCCTCTTCCTCAGAACAAATGGAGGAAGCTTTGCCCAGCGACCCAGCCAGGGCAGGAACCTGGACCAGCAGGAAACGAGATTCCCCACTCACAGCCCGACCCAAGGAGGCTGGGGCATGGCACGGAGGCTGGTTCCCTGCTCTCTGCCCTCGTGGGTACGCAGCACCCAGAGCATGCCACCAGGGTGGCAGGGATGGAGGCCATCTCCCCCAGCCTTCTCCTGGTCTGTCTGACTGGAAGACCTCATGGTGACCTTGACCTTGAGGGACTGGGGCCTCCCTGGAGGACCGCCAAGACAAGCTGGACACACTGAGGCCAGAGGAAGGAGGCCACAGGCCTCCTCCAGACCTTCACCCCGGAGAGCCCAACTGCCGGGAAGGACCCTCATCCAGGAGGAAGACCAAGGTCAGCCAGGGCCCCAGGGCTGGCAGAGCTCCAGTGGAGGCGGTGGTCTCCCGCCTGCTCTTGGCCACCCGAGGGCCACGCCAGGCGTCCAGCTCTCGCTGCTCTAGGTCAGGCACACTCCCCGGTCCTTCACAAAGACTTCAGACTAGACCTGCCCTCAGGGAGTCAGGATGGTCGGCCTCACCACGGTCCTGGCACGTCCAAGGGGGAGAGTGCAAGGGGGAGGTGAAGTGGGGAGGGGCGGGGCTCCCACCCAGTGACCTGAAGGAGGCCGCAGGCCAAGGTCTGGGCCCAGTGCTGCAGGGGGAGGCGCCGCCAGGCCCAGGCCAGGAGGCAGGACTGAGCCTGCGGGTCTGCAGAGCTACAGGGGGCTGGTGGGCCGGGCAGGTGTGCCAGGAACAGGTGGCAACAGGCGGGCTGGGGGCTGGCAAACCAGGCAGTGGCTTGGCCTCCACTAGAGGGGGCATGGGGCGCGTGGAGCTTTTAAAGTCCTTTGGAGGGGCAGATTTGGAGGACCAGGGGTCAGCTCAACAAGGGCACCTGGCCAGACACGTGGTGCACAGCTGTGATCCCAGCCGCTCAGGAGGCTGAGGCAAGAGGGTCTTGAGTTCAAAGCCAGCCTCAGCAACTCAGGGAAGCCTAAGCAGCTCAGGGAGACCCTGTCTCTGAGTTGGGAGAGACGGACACCAAGCCTCTCACGGCCCCCAGACAACCCCGCTGCCAGCGTTCCCAGGAGAACAACCGGGGCACGGGCGCAACAGGCTCGTGGGAGACGACAGCCAGAAGCTGAGCGCACAGCAAGTGAGAGAAAATGGAAGCAAAACCGAGAACGAGCTGAAGACAAACCCGCCAGCAGCTGCAGCTCCGTGGTGGCCAGGGCCCCCCACCCTGGGCCCCCCCGCCCTGGGCCCCTCCGCCCGGCTGGGCTCAGCCAGGGAGCCCTGGGAGGAGCCCTAGGGACACCATGGCCCAAGTTCCCGCTCATCTCCTCCAAGGCCACAAGGGTGGCCACACTCAGGAGCTGGCCAGACCCACACCCTGGCTCAGCCCTGGTCTTGCTCCTCCAAGGAGCAAGGTGACACTCCAGTCTCCCACCAGTCCCCCCAAGGACCTGCACTGGGCCAGCCCCACCGGGAGCACCCTGAGCACGAGAACCACGAGGTCCCCTTCACAGATGAGGCGACCCAGGCCGAGCGGTCATGGCTGGACAGCAGTGGCTTCCCCCCGGAGCGCGAGGCCAGTTCCGCCCCCAGTGCCTCCTGACCCCAGAGCTGGGTGCTCGGGCCCAGGCGCCCCTCCCAGAGTCACTCCCGAGCGCCCTGGCTCAGGTGCACACGCAGACTTACCAGAGACGGTGACCACGATGTACTGCTGGGACGCGGGGGCCGGGGTGGGCGCGCCAGCCTGCTGCGAGGGCGTGGGGGCAGCCGGGAGCTCCGTCACGTACTGCTTCTGGCTGCCTGGTGGCTGTGCCTGGGGCTGGGGGCTTTGCAGCTCGGTGACATACTGGGGCTGGGGGGTGGCCGAGGCGGTGGGTGTCTGGGGGGGCTGGGGCGCCGCTGGGGGTGGAGGTGGTGGCTGGGGCTGGGGTGGGGCCTGCGGTGGCTGGGATGCTTGCGGGGCTGCCGGTAGCTCCGTAACGTACGCCTGGGTTGCCATGCCAACAGTGGGGAAATGAGAATAAATAAGGCTTTTTTTTTTTTCTCTTCCTTGGGAAGAAAGAAGGAGGGGAAGAGAGAGGGGGAAAAAGAAGGAAAAACAAGAATTAATCCACAGCAGGGACAGCTCCTGGCTCCCCAGAAATGCACTGGGCTCGTCGCTAACTTAATTAAATCCTGAGGCTGGCGGCCAGATACCCCGGGCCATGACTGCAGGCAGACTGGGCACGGACAGAGGCTGGACCCCATCTGTTTCTCCACTCCCCTGGCCAGGACTCCTGCTCTCCAGCCCCGGGTGCCTGGGGGACCCCACGAGTCCATTCAGGTCCTGCTCCCGACACCAGGAGAACGGCGACCCATCTGGTGGCCTGTGCTCTTGCTCAGCTCTCACTGGGGAGGACCGGCAAGTCCAGCAGCCGCCCCTTCCCCTTTCTTCTTCCCCGTGGTCTGGGCATCTTTTAGGGGCTCCTGCCAGTTGGATGCTGCTGGGAGCTTCCCTTAGGTTGTTTCACTGTAAACACTATGTCTGGGTTGAGCTCAGTCTGCTAGATGAATGGCTGAGGTTCAGAGAGGGGAAGGCACTTGCCCTGGGCCACACAGCAGGGGTGACAGAGCGCAGTCTGAAGCAGAGCATTCTGGGCACTGACTAGTCAGCGATTTGCTGGAAAGGTAAGTCAAGGGGCAAGCTGCCTCTGGGCCAGCCGGTGCCAACCCTGTGTGCCCGCCATCTGGACTGGGATTCTTGGCTGAGTCTCATTCCCCGTTTGGTGCCAGACATGGGAAGGTGTTTGAGTCCCAAATGAGCCCCTTGAACTGCTTGTGGCCACAGAGGCCTTAGGCTCCTGTGCCCAGGGGCAGTTATGGATCTCTGAGGCTGGGGGCAGCCGGGCCAGGCGCGGGCAGAGCAGCCGCACAGGCCTTGGCGGGGCAAGCGGCTGGGCAGCAGAGGCCGCTCTCCTGGCTGCTCGAGGTCAGGGTCCCTTCTGGGGTGCTGGGCAGGCCCGCCCCGCTCCTCTCAGCCCCACCTCAGGAGGGAAAGCCAGATGGTTTGGGTCCCCCTCTTCAGCTCTGAGCACTTGAAGGACAGCAAACTGAGTGGTCAACAGGAGAAGCCGCCACCCTGCGGCCCTGCCTGGAGTCTGCGAACTCCGCGTGGGGCTCATGGTGCCCTGGGATCACATGGCTCTTCTGAGTGGCCTCTAGCACCTGTGTGCCATGCAGCATCAGTAGGTGGCCCTCCAGCTGCAGGGTGACCCAGGGTGGGATGTCCCAGGGGAAAGAACAAGCAAAACGAGAGCCGCCGCCCTCTGTCCTGGAGCCCAGGCCGCGGCCGGGGGCACTCGCGGCTGGCAGCCCTGGGAGGGGAGGGCCGAGCGAGGCGGGTGACCAGGCCCCTCTGAGCCCCAGGGTGCTCTCACTCCCAGCCCCGCTCAGCACACAGGTGTGGGGTGCCCTCCCCAGACACCCGAGCACCACCCCCCAGGCCATGCACCCGCAGGAGCGGAGGAACCAGGGCCAGCCAGGCAGCCCTTGCTCTTCCTGTATCCCTGTCCCTCCCTGTCCCGGGACCGAGGATCTGCACATGCCAGACTCCTTAGGAAGCGTCCAAGGAGGCCAGAGAACCAAGCCCCACGCCAAGCCCCGCACACACCAAGCCCCGCACGGGGCGAAGGCGCAGCTGGAAGTTGGGCCCCTCCTGGCTGCACGGCTCTGGGAAAGGTCCCGCTGCCCCATCTGTGAAATGGGAGGACAGCGGGCCTGACACCGTGGGCCTTACTGCAAAGGCCAGTCCTGTCGTGTGGGCAACGGCTGGACAACTGTCTGGCAGGCCAGGTGTGCCGGGGGAGGCGGGGGTGGCTGGGCACGCAGCTCAGCGGTCCAGGCTTACCTGGCCCTGCTGGACCCTGGCTTCTGTCAGGAGGGCAGGGAGGGAGGGAGGGAAGAGAGGGAGGAAGGGGGGAGAGGGAGGGAGGGAGGGAGAGAGGGAGGGAGAAAAAACACTAGGGTGGCAGTATGTATCAACTTGGACGTATAACCAATGTGATCCTGCAAGAACTGGCTCTGCTGCCCAGGGCCCTGGTTGGGG